GTACACAGGCCCAGGACATTCTAGTAGGGTAAGGCTTTAGCCCCAGATAAGGAAATTCGAATAATGCATTACGAAAACACGACAGTCCCTTAAATAGACAAATAAAGCATATTTATATGGATAAAAGTTACATTAACATAACATACACACCGTTGCGCGTCTCCTAAGTAACGCGGCAAGAAATTTATGTGTGTTCCGGATTAGACGAATACGTTTATTGGATCATCACTTTTTATACTCACTATTACAACCGGTCGCACTTATAATACCTTCAGACGTTTCCTGTTCAACTGTTATACACTCTTGCACCTCTATTCTCGGTGGAGTGTCTTGGTTCTTCGTTCTTCTCGGATCGCTCTTTGCATCCGAACTATCCTTAGCTCTCGTCTTGGTTCCCTGAACTGTCCTACGCTCGGACGGGATAGAGATCACCTTGTCGAAATGTTCAGTTTCGCTGCCGCTATGCGAACGACTCTCTCGTTGCTACCGAAATATACAGAGTTACTACAAATGATTCATTCCATTTCAAAACACTATATTTTCCAAGGTTTTACACATACAGATATGATAACTTCTTCCTTTTGGGGTATGTTAAGGACCGTGTTTACATACCCCCACTGCCAACAACACTGGTAGAGCTCAGGAAACGCATTAATGCTTCTGTGATGACCATTGACAAGGGAACGCTACAAAATGTTTGGTCCGAACTCGACTACCGTTTGGACGTGTGTCGTGTGACCAACGGGGAATACATAAAACATTTGTAATTTGGTGAGTTTACGGTTCTTTTTGTATATTAATCATATTTGTATGTATAATACTTTGGAAAATGTAGTGTTTTGAAATGGAATGAAAAATTTGTAGTAACCCTGTATGTCTGCTTCAAACAATTCATTATTTAGGCATTGCTAGCCTCCTTGTAACGGTAGAAAACCCCACTGTTAGGTTTTCATGTTGTTCAAGCGATTTCCTAGGGAACGGACTGCTTATATTGCGTTGCCTAGGAATCGCTAGCCGTTGACCAGTGATGGACGTCTTATCGTCCGGCCTTCCTGGCGGCACGTCACCATAATAAGGCTAGTGTAAATAACATTTGTTTAAAGTGACAGACACTCTTCCATCTGGGGTCGAGAATACAAAGTCCAGCTGTTACTGCCTCGCCTCTGTTGTTTTAGAAACTGCTCTGCGCTTCGTAGAAACGGCCAAATCAAAACTCTTACCTTTGTATTATCCACATAAAATTTTTTCTTGAAAGAAGCTGTATCGAAAAAGTAAAATTGCATATTGAATTTTTCTTACTTATCATTAAATTCAGATTCTGTAAACAAAAAGTGCTCCTTCTGGTATATTTTCCCATATTTGCAGCCCTTGGGGACAGGGCTTCTATTATAAATAGCTTTATTCATTATACAGTATATAGTTTCCCAGCAACTCCCAGACAAGGCGGTTGGAATACGAGTGTGTTATTGTAGGAGGATTAGAGTACTGAATGGAACGCCACAACAACCGAATGTCGCGGTCCAGTAGTTATGACGCCTGTTCCTTATTTGGGAGTTCCGGGTTGAGTCCCATTCTATATTCTTGTATTGCCGTTTGCTATTGCGGTGTCCTTTATACAGTGTGTGCAGAAGAAAGGAAACTCCAATGTTGGAAGAAAGGTCGTAACACTTAAAATCCGATATTTTTTAAACTTGTAGTCATGAAAGTGTTTGTTTTCCTTGAGAATCGCTACCGTATATTATGACGCTACTACGTCAGTTTTATTAGCCTACTTTCCTAATGTAGGCTTATGCGGTCTCCTTCCTGTCTGTATCTCGGTGTGTTTCCCTTATCAAATTTTGAATGCCTGAACCAATCTCTATGAAACTTGGTATGGCACCTGAGCCCATCTCAACGGCGTACTTCATAAATCCCTCCAATCAGTCTGTGTCTGTATGTGTTTGCCTGTACTGTTGTTGGCAACGGCTTGGTAAAACGGTTACCGCGGCAACCCATACTCAACAGTAAAACAATTGTTGTACGTATCGTTTCCTATGCTATCCATGTCTTATCGAAGGAAATTAGGCGATTAATTCTTTCCAGAATTTGTTACTTTAGGTGATGTAAAGCGAGCCTGTATTCCTGACTTATTTGAAAAATTTATATAAGATTACTGAATGCAAAAACGCATACAAAATATATGAAGACAAGTAAAATGTATGGTCAGTTTTAACATAGGCTTTAACAAAATAACCATACAAGCTATCTATCTATCTATCTATCTATCTATCTATCTATCTGTCTGTCTGTCTGTCTGTCTGTCTGTCTGTCTGTCTGTCTGTCTGTCTATCTATCTAATTTAATCTGATCTGATCTTTATTCCTGTTGCTCCCACTTGGAGCCAGGGCATCCGTGAAACGCTTCGTTTCACTTCAGTTTCTTAATCTTAGACGCTCGATAGGACTCCTTGGACGAGTGATCAGCCCGACGCAAGGCCGCTACCTACACACAAACACAGAATAATTGCAGACAAACATCCATGCCTTGAGTGGGTTTGGAACCCACGATCCCAGTGTTTCAGCGAGTGAAGACAATCCATGCCTTAGACTGTGCGGCCACTGTGATCGGCTAACCATACAGTGCTTGCATATAATTATATTTCAACGTAATCACCCTGCGTTTCGCTGGATTTGATCAACGAACCAGACGTCCCCTGATTCCACCAGAATAATTTTTTTTTTCGGTTGGGACCTAAACCCTTCTTCACAGTTCATTTCCATAACTGCTGCTCGTTTGAGATGCACATCATGATTACTGTCGCTCCTGTTGTCCTGGATACGCCAATAGACACGTTTCCTAACATCAGAACATTATGTAGTCGATGACCTTTCATGAGACTCGTCATCCCTCGTTGGAATCTTACTACCCATTCGTAATTTTTCCTCTGACTCACGTAGTTAACGTCACATTGAACTACCATTCTTCTGTAAATCTCACTAGTTCTCACACCCTTGACTACAAAATTTTGTAACAGACTGTTCTTCTTTGATGCATTCTATCAAAGGAACAGCGATGTTAGCTGTAGCTCAGTATCGTTAGTATTCACAGAAGAACTAGCAAATGAACAAAGTTCGTATTGTTCATATCCACCAACTTTTCCATACTTTGCCATGATGTGATGGTAATAGCACATCCTGTATATACCGCATGCGCATACCCGTGAAAATTGATGGACTTGCGCAATTATACGTTCTTATAACTTTGCTTCTAAAATATTTACCCTGGCGTAAAAAAATTGTTTATGTAGTTGAATTTTTGAGAGTGTACGTTATACTGAATTCGTTTGGAGGGAGTGAGCAGAAGGTAGATAATCAAAGTCTAGAATGGAAAGTGTGGGAGATTATTATACACTATTGAGAGTTTATCATGTGTTAAATTTTATTTACGAAAGCTATATGGAATTCGGGACTTTTAAATGTTCAAGTAATGTAAATTTATGTATAATATATTACTCTGTATTGTTCCGTGTACACACACTACTAGGCAACAGGTTTGTAAACAAGTTCTGGCGAAGACGGACTCTTGGTAAACAGTCCGTTGCTAGGTTACGCAACAATAGAGGAGGCTGTTTTCTATGTCGTCCGCTCCACTCCCAGCTCTGGTAACGGACCAATGAAGTCACAGTCTGACATATGACACGCGTTTTCTGTGGGGTCGTGCCGATAGGATATAAGAGAATACGGGAATGGTAACCAAAGTGTTAATAAATCCAGTCATCCGAACTAGAACCAGTTAGTTTCGTCACGCGTATCCCCCTACACGTGACAGTATATTAAGTTATTTTTGAGAACTATTGAGAACTGAGAACACCTATTTCAATCTGACTTCGCTGTATCTTCACTGTTTGTACCCTATTGTGTACCATGGTTAATGGTTAAAGCCTTCAGCACAACAACAAACAAGAAAGAAAAAAATAAAAACACTTAGCAATCGTTAAATAAAACCAATGTGAGCAGTTCGATTGTTTCGTTTTTTTATTTATTGCTCTGTTAACAGCCAAATAACACCAACCAAAACTGACTGCAACTTATTGAAATGAATCGTTAAAAATAGGATAGGATAGAAATCACAGATTTCACTAGGAGTTAAAGCAGTTTGTTTTATTGGCCACAGTATGTACATTCTCCCTAATCGCCCCATAATTCAAAGATAAAATTATGGGTGTATTGAAGAAACGTGCATCTGTAAACATTGACGATATCTTTTGCTAATATGTCAGATTTTGTTTCACTGAGAGAAACCGAAATGGATATGTTTGTGTCTGCTCAGGGTTCTACATGGTGTTTAATTATGGACAGAGACAATAATATCTTTCACCTTTACCATGTACATTTCTAAATTTTTTAGGTCATGATAAACATTAACATTCTACTGCCATAAATACAGTTTCGTCGAGAGAGACAGAAACTTAACGTTTCTTTCTGGGTGTACTTCAGTATAATTACCTATAATTTCAGTACTGTCAACTGAAATATTATTTTATTGAAATTTTGTAGTATGGAAGCCACGCCGTTCCGTGTCGTCCAGCTCCACAAAAAATTTAAAGTGTGTAAAGTCTGCTTTATAAAATATATGAAATTAAAACTTTCGCGGTCAGATAAAGGGAATATTGTATAACTGCAAATATATAAAAACACTGAAAATAAGAACAGTAGTATTCACCCTTTGCTACCCAATTGAATTAAGTACCGAGTACTTAACATTGAAGTCCTGTATGTCTGGAGTCCACAGTTCAACTATATATAAAAATATACGGAACATTTGAAAGTATTTATGGAGCAAGATATAAAAATGCATGTAGCAGGCATGTTCATTATTTATTTCTTGAATTCGCTTATGTTCATGATATAAATATATAATTATATTCAATATGTATATATGTATATCTATGGGGCTGTAATTGTTTTACTTTTTATAATTGAACGCTCTGTGTTTTTTCTGTCTTGTTCTCTTTGTTCTAGACGGGCCTTAGGATTTGGAGAACGCTGCAAGTACGTATCGAATGCATGTCAGAGTGCTGTGTGTTCTGAGCAGCTTCTTTGCTTGCTGTGGTTTCATGAATTAGTTTGCTGGATATGTTGGAATGCTTACCATTTTTTTTGAGGCTATATTTGCAGCTTTAAATCAGGCATGCCCAGTATATTGAAACTTTACTGCTACCCAGAGGATGTTGTGTAGTTTGCAGAGTTCTGGGATATAACGCCGTGTAGTCCGTTGCAAGCCTACCGACCTTTTGCTTGCAATTTGTTTCATGCTAGTTTCTTGCTTGGTTCCTTCTTCGACATTGGAGATACATGCGACATGTTCTTCCGAAACATCCATTCAATTTCAGCGGAATACACGGCTCTATATCCAGAATACAGAACTCTTCATAATCACCGCTGTGAGAACCCTAGATCCTACATTACGTGCTTTTCATATGTTGGAGTCTTATTATTATGTGGTGGTCGCTATTTTATGCTGCGCAGGGATCATGACTGAGTACATTCTCAGACTTACTACCATGGAGTAGGTGAGTTACTTTTCTGAAGGTAATGACCGAGAGGTCGCGTATAGGAAATTTTATATGATGGTACTCTCAAGGCAAGACCGCCTCTGTGGTCTAGCGGTCAGAGTTCCTGGCTACAGATCCAGAGATTCTGGGTTCGATTCCCAGCGCTACCAGATTTTCTGACAAGTAGTGGGTCTGGAACGGTGTCCACTGAACCTCGTGAGGATAATTGAGGAGCTATCTCAAGGAAATAGCGGCTCCGGTCTAGAAATCCAAAATTAACTGTCTTGGGGATTCGTTGCGCTGACAACGCGACACACTCTAACCGCCAAAGTTGACACGGAATTTAGTTTTTAGGTACTGTCAAGGCGTAAAAACTATTTAAGATTTGAGGTTTTCACGGTAATGACTATGAAGAAAGCAGTCTTCTGGGATTTGGCACCGTGTATATGTGGTGTTAACCGACATTTCGGAGGAACGTATCGCAAGTCTGCTTGTACCGGTTCTCACGGTCTCTTCGCCTGCTGATTTCTTATATTTTTCCTTCTACCCTGAAGATGGAGGCGATACATTCCTCCGAATTGTCAGTAAACATTACATATACACGGTGCCAAATCCCAGAAGACTGCTTTCTTCGTAAAGATTATTGTTGTCAATAAATTGACTATATTGGGTAATCGGAAATCAAAAGTATGCCTTTTTAAACAAATTAGGTGGTTCCCAGGCGAGAGTCAAGAGCAAAGTGACTGGAATTGCAGGGATAAATCTCGTTGTAATTACGAATTATTACTATTTACCAGTAAATCTACTGCTACGATGTAACTGCCTCCCTTCCCGCTCCCCGTACCCGAGCTCATGTCTTGTTTCCCGACAACTTTTCCCTTCATTTCCCTCTCTCATTGGACGGGGGCTACCGTAAACTAATAAGTTTATACATGGCTTCAGAATTGCAATCCATATTTTCAGTGTCGTTCAGTTAATCGGAACTTAGTCAGCATTCTTCCGTGAATGAATCAGAAGGGAAGGGAATTTTTAGTTTAATATCCACTGGACTCAGTAAGCATCAGTATTTTGCTTTCAGGGGAAACTTGTAGGCTCAGTGCCCTTTGCAGCACTACCCACGCACTAGAGCGGTCGGTATAGCGACTGACTACGGGCTGGACGACTGAAGTATCGGAGTTCGAGTCCCGATAGGGTCAAGAATTTTCTCTTATCCACGTCATCCAGACCGGCTCTGCGGTCCACCCAACCTCCTATCCAGTGCGTACCGGGGGCTCTTTCCCGGGGGTAAAACGGCCTGGGCGTGAAGCTGACCACTCACCTCAAGCTAGTACCGAGGTCAGTAAAACGTGAATCTATACATCCACTGCCCCCATACGCCTTCATAGCATTGTGCTTAAATTCGTTGAGCACAGGGACAACTTTACCTCTACCCATGCACTACCGTAAGAGAGGAGTAGTATCATATTCATTATATGGTGGGGTCCGGAAACGTCCCGAGAAAGTTAACGTAACGTTAGAAGTGATGCCCTTAATAGAGCGGATGGGTCACGCTGAAAAAATACGGCGTTTTTAGATTATGTTCTTCTGTGTTGTGAGATACTTGGTAGTCATGTATCACCGAGCAACTGTCCTCCCATTACCTTTACCACACACTGCCCTATGTAACAACCCTTAAAGTGCGAATACAAACCTTCACCGCCTTCAAACCTCATATAATACAGACTATGTCCATATTGTCACGTGTATTAGTGACTACAGACTGGGTGTGGATTGATGAATAGATTTATTGAACACTCACAGCTCGTAACAACAAATAATAACACTATTGCTGATGTCCACACTACAAATCACTCCACGCTAAATCTTCTCAGTCTGCTTTCACTAATCTTTATTTGGTAACAGCTCTCAGCGATGGCTATTTCTCTGCACTGTTTTCACTAGACGTTTCCTGATAAAGAATCTTAGCAGTGGAGATTTTTCAGCTTCCAATGCCCACTGGTTAACGGTCCTCAACTTAACTCTCAACTTAATATAACGCTAGTTGTCTTCGAGGTAACTCCTCAGCATGGACCACACAAACAGCCTATCTCTTGTTACAGAGGCTTGCTTACCACGCTGTTGCATAGCAGCGGTCTGTGCGCGGACCACATAGAAAACATCGCTCTTATATTTTTGCGCTGATGTTCGTTTCCGCGGCACGTGTTTACCGAGCCTTTGCCTAGCAGTGGATTATTCCGGCTTTCAGATATCATGTCACAATATAATTCTGCAATGGCTTCTCTAGTACTGTATATAGTACTATAGTACTGTACGAAACGTTTGTTGTGTTTAGCAAGTCTGCGGACCGTATTCTGAACACGAAAGAATAGTTCGTTTGCTTCTTCCGAGAATGACATTTGAAGTAGCAACTAGATCTTTATTGTAAGATTTGAGGCTTTCACGGCGGTGCCTATGAAGATTTGAGATTTGGCAGTCTGCTTTTACCTGTTCTCACGGTCTCTTCGCTTGCAGATTTCTTATATTTTTCTTCTACCATGAAGATGGAGGCGATACGTTCCTCCGAAACGTCGGTTAAAACCACATATACACGGTGCCAAATCACAGACGACTGCTTTCGTCATAGATCTTTATTACAGCAAAATTGGATCTATGCAATGGACAAATCGTAAAGTCAAAACACTTATTTACAAAGTGATTGAAATTTTATTTACTGTTTATTAGGAGTTCATTGTGTTCTTTGGCATTCTGTGCAAGCATTGCCATCCAGAGGCTGCTATTGTGCGGTCTTCATGCGTCCCAGCAAAAGAAAATTAACCCGTAGGTCGCTGTTTTATAGGAATGTAAAGCTTGGTGTCTATGCCGGACGGCAAGAACGTAAATTACGTGGTTTACCCACGTGCTTTAAGTAAAAAATGGGATAGAACCTTAAACTAGGCTACGACCGCTTCCTTCCCGATCCTTTTCAGTTATTCGCTATCGTCCAGTCATTCGACTTAACAATCTGAGTTGCGTTGCAGGAGAGCATCATTAGGTAAACTAGGCCTACAGCCACAAAATCAGGTTCTTAGCTTTATGTAAAGGGAGAAGATTTGCACCCATAAGCAACAGATGAACTTATAGTTTTGCATATTTTGTCTTAGGCTTTTTTTTTCTGCATGCAATTCGTTGTACGCATGAAGAACTTTCACTGATATTGCGGCATAACAGAAGCGAAATAAGAACAGATTTCGCAAAAGTGATCGTTAGCTGGGGGTATACACGTTTAAGTAAAGAAGTAAATTATGAAGTACGTAAGAAAGTTTCTGTAATTGGGATTAGTATATAAGGGGAGAAATGTAGATGAAGAGTTAAAGAAAAACAAAGAAGAGAAACTGAAATTGTGGGGTCGGTCCAGGTATTGCATTTCCTGTTCCGTGAAGACAAGGAAATGGTGCAGATGTCTCTGAGTAAGTCATTTTGCGTTTTTGCCAGGGAAGATATACGAAGCAGGTTGTTCTAGCCGTAATGCTCTTCTGCCCACAAACGAGGAAGTTATTCCTTGTGGACACGAGTGTTTAGTCTAATGATAAAGTACATGATTACAGCCAGAAACCACTTCGATCTTTGTCAATTATTATGATCTATGTGCTGCGGAGACGAGAACCGAGTAGCACACAGTAAGCATCAGGATTGGTTATCTGTTGTCGGGAAGGCATCAGAAATCACGTGGAGCAAGTCCCAGGGAGCGAGAGATCTATGGAAGGTTCTCTTTCATCATATGGAACTATATCGCGAAACCTAATATATAAGATATATGATAGTACGGCGTCTAGACCAGCTCTGTGGCCCACCAAGCCTTTTATCCCCGGGGGTAAAGCGGCCGGGTCATGAAGCTGACCGCTCACCTCCGTCTAATGCCGAGGTTCACTCCCTCGTACGTCTTCGTGGCGTAGCGCTTAATTAGTTAAGCATAGGGATAAATTTATCTTTATATTATAGCACCTGTAAAGATCGAGGTTGCTTTCATCTGGACACTCACGAAGAGATCATGAGCAGATTCAGTTCCGGTAATGACTGCTCCCGTTCAATTCGAAATTCTGTCTTCCGGTCTCCAGTATAGAAGCCTAAATATTAATTTGCTGTATGTATGAAACTTGATCTCTCGTCCGGAGGGAAGACAACGGATTGAGGGTGTTTGAGGAGAAAGTGCAGAATAGAATATGCCGTATGTACTTAAAAGGGGAGAATTAACAAGAGGATGGAGAAACTCACATAGTGAGGGGCTTCGTAAATTATTCTTCACAGAATATGGTTAGAATGACCGTGGGAGGTGGGAGGGACGTGCAATGTGCGTAGGAGTAAAAACCTTGTATCTTAGTCGGAAGAGGTGAAGGGACGGGGCTACATGGGAAAACATGTAGATGGATGGTAATATTAAAATTATTCTTAAAAAATCGCGATACGAGAGAACGGGCTGTCTGAAGATGGACTCCAATGGAGGCTGTTGTAAATTGTACAATAAACCTTCGGGTTCCATGAAAGAAAGACAGTTTAATGATCTAGTAGACTGAGTTTCGGCTTCTCAAGTGCGGATTCTGCTTCATGTGTTCCTTCGTCAGGTAGCACAGATTTCATACAGGGTGTACGGAGGTAATCCTGAACTCTGTTACCGCTGCTTCTGCCTTTGGGAAGGATACTGAATTGTTAGTGACGGGGATTGAACTTTGGATATATATCAAGTTGCAAATCCAGATTCATCTCTAGCCTCTAAGAAAAATCTATCGGGGATGAATGTTAAATTTTTGTAATTAGCCCATTTTCTCTCTGTCATGATTTACTCGCAAGCACGTCTCTTTATGGTAAACTGCTGGACAACTAAACCAAATCGCATGTATTCTCAGAATCTTCGCGCAAATGCCACAGAAACGCAAGAAGTTCAGAAAATCACTCAGGAGGCTACAGTTCATTAAACATTATATATAATGAAAAGAAGAATGAGTGTGCAACTTTCAAGGTAATGGATTCCTGTTCTGAAAATTAATGTATGCAGCGGCCTGCTTCAGAACGAAGTTATACTTCTCGAAGAGTGTTATCTTCTAGAATATAACGCCGTATAGTCCGGTGAAAATTGGCCGACGTTTTGGTGGTACGTACTGCCTCAATCTTCAGGGTCGTCGCGTAAGCCAATCAAACAGCTAACAAGTCAAATTGATACATGAGTTCTTGCTGACCGCTTGCTTGATTTATTCTTCGACCCTGAAAATGGGGCCAGTATGTTCCTCTGAAACATCTTCTGCCGGACTACACATCATTACAACCCAGAAGACATTACCGCGGTGAGAGCCCCATATCCGACATAATTATAGTTTTTCGTTTGCTCAAGCCATGATCACTGGGATCTTGATATGCTGAAGAACTTCACATTGCGCAGTTGGAAGAAAACAGTGTTTAAATTTTCAATAGTATGTGGCACCGCCCTATTACAACAGTCTTGTTCGTTATGCGCATAGTGAGGGATTTCCTGGGTACTATCAATCACTTGGACACCAAAATCACCAGACTTGACTCCTAGCTCATTTTCTTGTGGGGCTGTGTCATACGTGCTAAGTGTACTGAGCAGGTGGCCAACTTTGGAGTCAGAAATGGCCGACTGCAGCTATTGAAACAGTAACTCCAGAAATGCTGAGGTGTGTATGGACTGAAACGAGGTTCTGTCTGGATAATTTTCGTGCTGCATATGGAGAATTACCGACATAGACCTTCTGAACTAACCTTTTAAGTATTTAGTTTTTCATTATGTGTAATGGTTAAGAAAATATAATTCGCTTTTTAATGTGGTGTGATTATCTGAATGTTATTTACTGTATATCCATCATCATCAGTAATCTGTCAGACGACAGGTCCACCGTCTCTTCCAAAACAATTCCTCCACTTAATGCGATCTAGAGCTTTCGCCTTCAAATGACAGTATCCTCTTCTGTCCCCAAGGTCATCCAGCATCTTCTTACGTCTTCTTCCTCGTCTTCTGGTCACTTCTATCCGCCCCTCTATCTTTCCTTCAATAACTTCTTTTAGAAGGCAGTTTCTGCGTAAAACATGACCAGTCCAATTAGCCTTCCGTTTTCTTATTTCGTGTAGGATATTCCTCTGCTCACTGACTCTAAATAACACTTCTCACATAATCGGTCCAACTGATCTTCTCCATCCTTCTCCAACACCACATTTCGAAATTTTCTAGATGTTTCTGATCTACTGCCCTAAGTGTCCATGTTTCAGCCCCATACAGAGCTATGCTCCAAATGTAGCATTTCACAAGTTTCTTCCTCAAATTTAAGTCCAATTTGCTGGTAAAGAGATTCTTCTTCTTGCTAAATGCAGCTTTTGCCATGACAATCCTAAATTTAATTTCACTAGTACACCTTCCATCATCTGTTAACAAGCTACCCAAATATTTAAAACATTTCACATTCTCCAGTTGTTTTTGGTCTATCTTTATTGTGATTGGAGTTGGTTATCTCGAAATTTTCATTACTTTCATTATCCATTACCTTAAAATATAGTGCACTTCCTTCCAGCTGTCACTTGATCTATATGCGATCCAGCCTTTAGTAATGACTGGTTGAGCAAACAACAATATTGTAAATTTGTTTCTTGGGAGGACAACGGATTATATTTTGTGAACAATTCTAATTCGTAGCTTAGGATAAGGGTATGTAAGCCATGGACTGGTACAGCACAAACGGGATGCCATTCTAAACATGTGGAAACGTTTTCCTTCTACTCAGTAACCAAATAGCCTTAGACGTCGTGCAAAATAACTTGAATTCAGTCACTTGCAGTGTCCATGAATCTAACTTTAATCGCTACGAATTATTTTGTTTCATTACCACGTCTGTTTCAGAGATCAGTTATTTTAACTGAGATGTTTCGTGGTTTCCCTCGGTTCCTCCAAACAGGTCCTAGGTTTGTACCTCTTATTATACGACCACAATTTCCTTTCACATTTCTTCAAATTTTTTATTGAGCATGCATCTTATCATTCAGTGGTACATAATCTGAGCTATTGATAATATCTCTAAATAAACCATAAATGTGTACACTGATTCGTTTCTTACTTGCTTTCCCCAAAATTATAGTAACTGAAACATTCTGTCTGCATAGAACCAACCGATGTTTGTCTCTGTTTCAGGCGCGGCTCTGGGTTCAGGTGATCCACGAGTTGCGGCACGGGGTGAAACTGAAGAAAGTGGATTACAGTCACACTCCTATTGAGTACGAACTCACTCCTTACGAGATCCTGATGGATGATATCCGGTCTCGACGCTACAAGCTCAACAAGGTCATGGTGGACGGCGACATACCCCATCGCATCAAGAAGGATGCCCATGCCATCATCCTAGAATTCATCCGTTCCAGACCCCCACTGCGCAAGGTTCGTGGCACTCCCAACTCTCCTGTTTACTTTCGTGAAGTCTGCACAGGAAATTAATCAATTTGAAACTAGTTTGCGGTGCACGCGGTAGCATAGTTGGTTGAGGCACTCTTCTACAAGCCGGAAGGTCGCGGGTTCGAGTCCCCTAATCCTTCCAGCCGCACTATGGCCCAGGGGTCGACTCAGCCTCTAACAGAAATGAGTACCAGGAATCTTCTTGTGGTTTAAAGGGCGGCCGTCGCATAAGGCTGACAAACTCACCGCCATCTGTTAGTCAGTTGTCTAGATAATGTGGGACCCTCAACGTCTCACAACCCTATGGGCCTCTATTGCCTGTTACAGGGATATATTTTACTTAGTTTGCGATTGAGAAAGCGAAACATGTTGTGACATTGCGTGAGAAACGCTTGGACGTTCGTGGCTCCTAAAGAAGAAGATTTTTTTTTAATGATAACTGTCCGAGGACTGAAGCGTCGGGTGGAGGAGACGGTCACAGGACGCGCAGAATGGCTGCGGTTTGTTGACTAATTAGTCGACAGCCGAGAATAAGTTGCCCTGCAGCTTAGGGATTGGGGGGGGGGGAGGATAACAACTCCGCAACGTAAAATGTTGTAACGCAGGGTCTCGGACTTCGACAGGTTCTCTGGAACGGGAAATATGCATTAATCTTGAAGAACGAGGACATGAAGGATATTCTTCAGAAGGCGAACGATCATTGCCTTCTCTTGAATGAAGGGAAGAAAAAAGTCTGGCTGACTGGCGTTTATCTTCGAATCAAGGAAGGGTGTAGTCTGTTTCATTGATTCTCAGACTAGTGACTATATGATTTGCCCCTCTAGCCTCAGCTTTGAACAGTCTATTACCGACTCGCCGTCTTTCGTATCATTTCTTATACCTGCCTGACGGAGTAAGTGAAGAGACCTTCCCGGCTAAAAGGAGACAGCGGTTCTTTGTGCTTTCATGAATACGGGTTTATTACTATTATTGGCAGCAGCAGCAGCAGTAGTTAGTAGTAGTAGTAGTAGTAGTAGCAGTAGTAGTAGTAGTAGTAGTAGTAGTGGCGGTAGTAGTAGTAGTAGTGGCGGTAGTGGTGGTGGTGGTAGTAGTAGTAGTAGTAGTAGTAGTAGTAGTAGTAGTAGCAGCAGCAGCAATAACATCAGTGTTTGCCTAAAATTAACCGTTAAGCTGCTGTCAAGCACTTTAATAAGCGAATCGAATTGACATTATCATTATCAAGCCAAGATGGCTGGCAGCAGCTCACAGAACCTGCGAGGGGATATGCTAATATTGTCGTGTGTTTCTTAGGTAACGCGAAAAGAAATTTACACGGGTTTCGGATTTGTCGGAGGCGTTTATCGGACTACCGCTTTTTACACTCACAAATACAATTATTCTCAACTTATAACGTCGTGAGACGTTTCCTCGTCATTATTAGAATTACTTGCACCGCTGTTCTTGGTGAAATGTCTTCTGCTCGGAGCTTAACTGTCCTTGGTCCCTTGTCGGATACAAACTCTTCTGCTCTAGTCGGATAAATACTCTGCTTGTCTCTTGTCGAATAAGAACTGTTATATCTCGCACTCGAACTGAATAGGGAATACCTTATCGAAGGGTTAATTTCACCCGCTGCTATGCAAACGCTGCTTCAAACAATTCGTTGCTTGGATATTGCTAGTTGCTGTACAGCTGGACGCGTTCTGATTCCTAGCCGTTGTCGCGGGAACGTTGCTCGTTGCCTAGGAAATCAACCCTGATGTCACTGAACTGTTGCGGCTTTCTGTCGGCACGCCACAATATACGTATTTATCTGGTGGCGGACTGCACCTTGAACCCCTATATGAAAAATATTTCTATTAAAATTGTGAATTTGTGAGTTCCCCCGCCCCCCAAATAAGGAAATTCAATCTTGTTACTTTCACGTGAGCTTCACGAAACGTATTATTTTTTCGGTGCATTTTATCTTCTATAGTCTCCAGAATATCGCCTTCGTGTGCCATTTACCTTCCTGCTCTTGAGATGTATTGTGCTCGTGAAGTAATATCAGATAAGCCGGTCACGGTAGCCGAGCGGTCTAAGGCATGTACTGTCTTCGCTTGCTTGGAAACCGGGATCGTGGGTTCGAATCCCACTCAGGGCATGAATGTCTAGTTTGTGTGTGTGCGTTCTTCTGTGTTTGTGTACAGGTAGAGGCCTTGCGACGAGCTGATCACCCGCCCAAGGAGTCCTACCGAATGTCTAAGATCTAGAAAAACCGAAGTAAACGGAGAAGTTCATGGAGGTAGGCCTAGGCCCACTGCGGCTGTAGTGACAAGAAAAAAAATATCAGATAAATTGAAGTTATTATCGCTCTACCTGGATTTTGTTCTTTCTGTATTTTGATACTACAAAAATATTTTTTGCAGTGGCCTGTATAAAATTCCTTTTGAGCTGCTCAGTGGTTACAATAGTGACGTTGTTACGAACACACTATGTGAAATACCCTAAGTTTTGTGTAATAAAAAGGTAAATTTGTTACTGTGTTTAACTAACTAAGCATTACTCCGGGAAGGCGTATACTGGAGTGGGTTTATAGATCCACATTTTTTTTATCTCGGCACTAGTTGGGAGTGGTCAGCTTCACGCCTTGGTCCCTTTATCCCCGAGGAAAGAGCCCCTTGTATCCATTGGATAGGATGCTGGGTGAGCCCCAGAGCCGGTCTGAACGACGTGGAGAAAAGAAAATTCTTGATCCTACCGGAACTCGAACTCCGACTCCTCGGTCGTCCAGCCCATAGCCAGTCGCTATAACGACTACCTGCTCCCGGCTTCTAAGTTCTGTGAAATACGTTTTTAATTTATATATAAATATTGTACGCGTTTTAGAACTTGCCATAATGCAGGTAAGGAAATGATTATATTTTACTGCCAGGTAAGTAATTATTACTCAGGGGCCGCGCCATAGCTCAAGCGGTTAGTCGCTGGCTTCCCACCGCGGGGGCCCTGGTTCGATCCTGGTTCTGGTAAAGTGGGATTTGTGTTGGACGAAGTGGCGCTGAGGCGGGTTTTCTCCGAGTGCTTCGGTTTCCCCTACCAATCTTCCTTCCACCAATTGCTCCACAATCACCCTCACCTATCATCTGGGGCTGGTACAATAAGCCAGAAGTGGTCGCAGTACAAGGGACTTAGTCCCACCCCACTAGCAATAAAAAAAACTCAGAATGTATTTACTTGCTGAATTACACGTAAACACGTGACGGTGCTTGATACACTCGAGTCTTCCCATTTATTGAATGCCGGTTTTGATTATGTCGTAATACGTCAGTGCTGATAGCAAGGAGTTGCGATTTGCAGACTTTCCTACCTACCGACTGTTGGTACAACAGGCAAGGCTGTTTCCTTCTGATTCTGCGCATTCGCGCATATTATATCCTCTCATCGTCTTCATATTCCTACCGAGGTGTTCTGTGTAGTAGTAACGCTGTGCATTTGTGTTCGCTTTGAAAAGGTCTCCATGCGAGATGCAATATGGATTTTCCTTTCCACACGGAAGGATTTCGTCCGTTTCGAAGAGAACCACTGCCTAATGAGCAGTAACGGTTCGCAGTTCTACAGGCCATAGAATCTCCATAGATGGGCTTTCTTCTGTAGGTCTACGTAAGGAAGCAGAGCCATGATCAATAACACATTATAACAGGTGTCCGTTGGGTATGTGATTCCGCCTCACAGCGGCGATTGATGTGTTGCCTAATTTCGTTTCTTCAGTCGCTTATCTCTGCACGAATTGCGGCTCTTGTTTATAGGCACAACAATAAGGTAAAAGGTAAAATTGTCTCTGTTATTAATTCATTAAGCATTAAGCCATGAAGACACGGGGGAGCAAAGGTATAGTTCCACCAGTAGTTGACCTCTCCACTAGATGAAAGTGAAATATCAGCTTCCCGCCCCGGCCACTTTACTCTCGGGGAAAGAGTCTTCGGTACTTATTAGATAGGAGGTTGAATGGGCCCCAGAGTCAATTTGGACGCTGTGGAGAAAAATGTGACCCCTGCCGTGAATCGAACTCCGGTCGTCCAGCCCATGACTATACCGACTGAGCTATTCCGACTCAACGCAAAGCAGCATGAGGGGATTTATGGTGATTCGTATGAAGTAGACGATTTGCGTGCTTCAGAAAACCATATCTTATGTGCCATATCTATGTATGTATTTTACTGTGAAGGACGAAATCATTTCATAAGTATAGAACACGGTTGTGAAGCGTCGTTTCGTGTTTATGATGGAAATCGAAGATGGCAACGAACTGAACTGTTAATATAAATGTATATTTTTGTGATTTTTTTATGTTGAAAATATGTGGCCGAACACTGTAGCCAAGCGGTCCTAGCCATGAACTGTCTTCGCTCGCTCAGAAGTCGGGATTATGGGTTCGAATCCCACACAAGGCATGGATGTTTGGTGTGTGTATGCGTTTATTCTGTGTTTGTGTTGTCCTGTGTTTAGGTAGAGGCCCTGCGACGAGCTGATCACTCGTCCATTAAGTCCTACTGTCTGTAAAATGATCAAAATGAAGAAGAAAACAACCTCGACACCGTAAGGTATAAGAGGAACAGACTAAGTAAGTAAGTAAGAAGATATGCGATATCGGCTGATCTGTAACAGGTTGTCGCAAAACTGTGATTCTTTGAATAATTGGAAAGCGTAATAGGGCTTATGACTTTGCTAAAAGCCTATCACCCACAGATTGTCAGGTCCTATCATTAAGTGTCGCTAATGTGCGCGGTCACGTTAGCCGAGCGGTCTAAGGCATGTACTGTCTTCGCTCGCTTGGAAACCGGGATCGTGGGTTCGAAACCCACTCAGGGCATGGATGTTTAGTTTGTGTGTGTGCGTTTTTCTGTGTTTGTGTACAGGTAGAGGCCTTGCGACGAGCTGATCACGCGCCCAAGGAGTCCTACCGAATGTGTAAGTTCTAGAAAAACTGAAGTGAACGGAGAAGTTCGTGGAGGTAGGCCTAGGCCAAC